TTTGCGCCGCTGAGCACAGCTTGGGAGGGGATGTAATTTGAGTGGGGCGGGGTCTCAGAGAATCACCAGGGCGGAGCAAACAGCAATGGCTGTTGTCAGGTCAGCGTCTTGGTGACTCTGCGTGTCTCCACGACTCCTCGCCTCTGCAGTCCCGCGCCCCCACAGCAACAATGATCCCTGCAAGCAGCTCTGCGAGAAAGCCACCCTCACTTCCCAAACTGCTGCAAGTCAGTCCAGGAGCTTGTATCTCCTTCCAGTTGAAAAAAACCGCGCATCCAGGTGCAGCCTGCCTCACGCGCGCCTTTGTACCTCTGTTCTTGGCGCCTCTGCACCTCCTACCTGGTCTCAATGCACTTCTTTCTTTCCTTCTAGTTGTAGAACTTCCACTCGGCCAGGTTTCCCCTGGTTCTGGATGATAGCTGTTTTGTCTTATAGTTGTAGTTTCGATGTTGTTTTGGGGGGCAGCACACACAGGTTTATACCTTATGCCGCCATCTTGGTTCTCCGGCAGATATATCTATAATAATAAAAGGGTAATATGCTAATTAGACTGGATGTCTTTCCGGATGTCATTCAGGACGTCCTTCCTGACGAAGCTGGGGCCAGAGGGAAGCCAGCCCGGGTCGCAGGTGCCTGCGGGCGGCCCGAGGGAAGCCAGCCAGGGTCCTGGGTGCCTGCTGGTGGCTGGAGGAGGGAAGCCAGGGTCCCAGGTGCCAGAGGGTTCCGGCAGCCGGGGGAAGGAAGGCCTACTTTTGCACAAATTTTCGTGCATTGGGCCTCTAGTCTATGCTAATTAGACCGGGAGACCTTCCGGACATCCTTCTGGACAAAGCCATGGTGGCGGGGCTGAGGCAGAGGCAGTTAGGGGCAATCAGGCCAGGAGGGGAGGGCAGTTGGGGGTGACCAGGCCGGTGGGGGGGGCAGTTAGGGGCGATCAGAGCGGCATGCAGAGGCAGTGAGGGGCAATCAGGCCAGCGGGGGGGGGGGGGTTTGGGGGGGCCC